ATATATCTATATATATATATATATATATATATATATATATATATATATATATATATATATATATATATATATATATATATATATATATATATATATATATATATATATAATTTGTGATTGTGTTTTTTCAAAAGTATAACACAGCTTTGTAAAAGTTTATTATTACCATTTGATAAGTCTCCCCATACATTTTGATACAGCACTTGGACCCGGAAGCCACTACGCGTGACTTCACACTAAACAAGTGTGAAAAAATAAGAGTTAGGATGGTTTTAGAATGGTTAGTCTGTCACCCTTGCCTCTCAAAATCACTTCTGGCCATTTAAAACCAATTTAGTAACCAATAAACCACACCAAAACCAGAGACTAGCATTACTAAACTCAAATCTTGTTAGCTATACCATGCAAAATGTACACATTGGAATCAGGGAGGGAACAGGAAGTGCAGTGTGACAGACCAAACATATGGTGAGCCCCAGGAGCAGTTGTTGCTTTGCTGAACAAGACCAGGCTGAAAGGAGCTTTGTAAGATATAATAACATTCTCCTCAGTTTCATAAAATCCAGCCAAGCCCAAAGGACAGACCACACTGTGACTCCAGAGAGGATATTAAACTTGAAATGAAGCCTTCATCCTTTTTGAAATGCACTGAAACCGTTTTTAAAACTGTATCCAATTTCTGGGAGCCATCTCAGAGACACCAATGAGCTCAATATATTGATTTTCATTGCACTAAGCTTTACCAGAGGCCAGACTCAAGGATCAGAGAGCTGAAAACCTTGAGCAACCTTCTGCTACTATAACAGAAAGAAAAGAGTAATTTGGCAGAAGACAATCAAACTTGGTGAACTGAAGGTTTTGATAAGTTTTAATTTACAGTGGTCCTTGTTATTTGTGGGACCTACGTTCTAAAAATAATGCAAAGTAGCCAGCTTTATTTTTTACAATTTTTATAGATGTTTTAAGGCTTTAAAACCCTTCACTACACACTTTATACACTTTTTTCAGAGAGGCATTAACATTTTCACACTTTTCTCTCGTTTAGACAATCTTAAAGTTCAAACTTTCATAAAAAGATAAGTCCAGTATTATAGAATAAAACCAAAGATCAAAACCTATGGTCAGATGGAAACATTCATCGCTGACAGCAAAAGGTTCATGTAGCTTTTTAGCTTTTGATAAAGTTGGCTTCCAGCGTAATGTTCTTTTTCCTGCAGTCACTGATCCACAAAACTAAAACAGACTCCATCCTTAAGGGGGTCGTACACCAGATGCACCATGCACATGACAGTTGGAAGTAACACACACCGTACATGTACATTCGCATGATATCAATAATGAAATTATTCAGATGGTCTCTGTGGAGCGGCAGAAATAAGAACAGAGTCCCGAGTCGTAGCTGGGCACTCCAGACAGCCGCTAACTTGCAGCGCCGGTGTGCGTACCCTGATATAAACCTATGTTTACAATTCTAAAATGCATGGTGTTGCGTGGTGCATCCGGTGTGCGACCTCCTTTACGATGTTCTTGCTGCGGACAGTTACAAACCTTTTTGCATCCTTTTTGAAACTCACAAGGCTAGCGATCAATGATTTATGTTAATTTGGCAAGCTGAACACATTCTGTACTGTACACAGAGGAGATTGATTGACAATGGTCTACAGCCAATCAGAATGCAGAACACGATGCACTTTAAGAAAAAATTTAAGTAAAATTGCACAAAAAAAATTTTACGAAACTGCAAGACCACAAAAGGTGAACCGCGTTATAGTGAGGGACCACTGTACATAAAATGGTGCAACTAAAATTCCAACGAACTAAATCCAAGACATAACAATATGTTAAAAGTGATTGTGACGGCACCAATAGCCTAGTGGTAATGTGCGCCAACATACAGCACAGAGGTGCTCACGGCAACCTCAGTTCGAATCTTGCCTTGATGTTCTTTGCCGATCCCCCCCCCCTTCTCTGGTCTCCACACTTTCCTGTCTATAATCTCCACTATCCTACAAAACCAATGGTTAAAACCCCCTAAAAATGTTAATAAAAAAAAGTGATGTGCAAAACATGAAACCTACCATTGACTTAAAATATTGAAGTCACTTAAATAAATGAGTAAATAAAAACAACTATTTTGAGATTTTACATCTTTAAGATTACAGTGTGAGGGGCTTTTATGCACAAGGACCTAGAACAAATGGTATATACTAGCTAATTATACACATATAATATTATATCATAATACAGTACTTTATTGCTAAATTATTTCTTTTTAATTAAACATTATTTTATTTTTATGTATCAAACTAAGTGAGTTAGTTTATTTTTTGTTATTTTACTTAGATTTTTTTTTGCCACATCTTGCAAATTCGAGACAAAAAAATCTAAAAGCTCAAATTCAACAAAAAGAAATACCTTAAGTATGAATGGTTTCTGTTTTAGAAAGGACAAGTGGTATTATAATGAGATGGACCAGTATATGTGACACTAGAATATAACATAATCTGTTGTAAAATACTGAGGTAACTATAAGTACACAAAACAACTTTCGATTATTGAGATTGTACATCTTGTAAGGGACTATTATGTTTAAAGATCTAGTACTAGTAGTATATACACTAGCTAATATTATACACATATACTAATATATCATACTACAGTACTTTATTAAAGTATATATATAGTATAAATTATTTCTTTTTAACGAAACATTATTTTATTAAAGGTTTTATTTTTATATTTCAAAGTGAGTGAGTTAGTTTATTTTTAGTTATTTTACATTGATTTCTTTTGCCACGTTTCGCAAATTTAAGAAAATCTGCATTGTATTAATTTTAAAAGCTTAAATTGACCAAAATGAAACACCTTTGAAAATTGAAAATTAAATTACCTTTAGTATAAATGGTTTCTGTTTTAGAATGGACAAGTGATGTTATAGTCAGAGGGATCAGTATATGTGACACTAGAATATAACATAACCTGTTGTAAAATATTGAAGTCACTTATAAGTACACAAAGCAACTTTCGGTTATTGAGATTTTACATCTTTAAGATTTCAGTGTGAGGGACTATTATGCTTAAAGATCTAGTACTAATAGCATACTAGCTATTAATATTATACACATATACTATTATATCATACTACAGTAGTTTATTGTTGAATTATTTTTTTTATTATTTTATTAAAAATGTTATTGATATTTGAAATAGCATTTGTTTTTATTATAAAAGCTACAATTCAACAAAAAGCAACACCAGATCACCTTTAGTATGGTTTCTGTTTTAGAAAGGACAAGTGATATTATAATGAGATGGGATCAGAATATGTGTCACTAGAATATAACATAATCTGACATGATATTAAAGAGGATTGACACTAATCTGCAGATTAGATATGCCACATATCACCTCACATATCTCTAACCCAATAATAACCACTGAAAAAAACATGAATATTTAAGTAGACTTTAAAAAAACAGCTGCAGCTAAATCAAGATGAGGCTAATCTAACCATGAATTAGACCTCAAACTAACCTAGTACGCTACAGACTGATTGTAAGTGACATCGCGTAGTCAATAAATATAAATAATAGAGATTTATGTACCGACTAACCAGAACAATACTCTAAGATAAAGTTAAATACTTAGTTGGCTAACGTAGAGCTAATGTGCCTAGCCGAAAGGTTAGCCTCTAAGGTGGCATGATTTCCCATCAACCTGCTTAAATAATTGAACATTGGTATCATGTTTACCTCAGCTCAATATAACCATCACGATAATCAGACTGACAATGCTCAAACTAGTTACATCGGATTGTACTAGTTAAACTAACTCACCTGCCCGCAGTGGTCAAAGCCAAAGTAGCTCTCGGCTAGCTACTTCTATAACGTCCCCGCAATATCCGTAATATTCTCAGAATTCCAGATCGGGATTTTTTCGGGATGGTTTTAATAGTGTTCGGGAAAAACAAAATGCCGATGATTAGTCCATCATTCAGTTAGCGTGTCATCTGTACGACACTGGCACACTCAACAAGCCCTAGCATGGTTGTGATGGGTCGGGCCGGTGTATGAGCGGTTGATAGGCAACCCACGAACTGTTTCTCAGCTGGGGCGTCGTCCAAGATCGGCCCTTTACGGATTTGTTCGCTTCTGTTTTCGAAAGCTCTTGCTCTCATTCGAGGGCTAGTCGGGTTTAGTCGGACTTGCTCGGTCACATTCGTTCAACTAAGCGATGTTGCCCCCTGGTGGCAGTTGAAAATGATCCTGACCCGTTGGCTTGTGTCCCCTGTAGTGGACCTTGTGTTCCATGAATTTTCTTTGATTTTTTGAGCTACTTTGTTTAGTGCTGTTGTACTGTGCAGAGGACATCCTGGGCTTTCTGGTGATATGTAATTTGATTGGCTGGCATCGTGGCATGCTATGAACCACTTCTTACACTGCATTTAAAATGGCCAGAATACAAAAGAGGACATTTTATGGGAAGGAGAGAGATATGTAAATTTTTGCTTTTTAAATGTTTTTTCTTTACTATTATTATTACATATAAAATAAAAGCCAATAGTAAAAACACTAAATTGTAGATTTTTTAACCCAAAGGATGTAGGAAATCAAGCAACAAAAGTAAGCAACAAAAAATACAATATTTATCTTTGGGTCCCAGGATATGCACAGCTAGTGTTTTTTAGCTTTAGAAAGGTTTATGTGTTTAATTTCAATTTCATACGGTTTCTATTACAGCATTGATGTTGTGATGTAATTCAAACATAATCAGTTAAAAAGACTTAAGCATCCATTTGGTTGTTAAACCTGCAATTAGAGGGATACAGAGTTAGCTTTAGCTCTACTATAAAAGATCTGGGTGTTATATTAGACAACAATTTAGCTTTTGAAAATCATATATCCCATGTCACAAAAACTGCCTTTTTACATCTGAGAAATTTTGCTAAGTTACAAAGTGTGCTATCCATCTCAGATGCAGGAAAGCTAGTTCATGCTTTTATGACTTCTAGGCTGGATTACTGTTATGCTCTGTTTGCTGGCTGCCCAGCATCCTCTATTAACAAACTTCAGCTAGTACAAAATGCAGCTGCCAGAGTTCCTACCAGGTCTAGAAAATATGATCATATCACCCCAATTTTATCCTCCTTACACTGGCTGCCTGTTAAGTTTCGTATTGATTTAAAAATATTACTTCTTACCTATAAAGCTTTAAATAATCGAGCTCCTGTTTATCTAACCAACCTTCTGTCTCGCTACTATCCAACTCGCTCTTTAAGATCTCAAAACTCAGGGCTTCTGGTAGTACCTAGAATAGCAAAGTCAAGTAAAGGAGGTCGAGCCTTCTCATTTATGGCTCCTAAACTATAAAATAGCCTTCCTGATAACATCCGAGGCTCAGACACACTCTCGCAGTTCAAAACTAGATTAAGACCTATCTGTTTAGTACAACAAACACTCAATGCATCACTTAGTGGTATGATACATGAATGTGCTCCACACAGGTTTCTTGATCTCACTTATATACACTTTGAACTGTAGGTACGCTAATTATTCTCTTTATTCTCTATTTCCACCTGGGGATACTCATCCCGAGACCCTCAGACTATGAAGCGCCACTGATTCGATCCAAGACCAGCGACAAGATGATCCCAAGGTTTCCATGTCCTGGACCAGACCGTATCCTGAGCAGCTGCTGTGGTGGTCATGGAGGAGTGGAGAGCTTGAAACTGATTCCTGTGACGCTCCAGGGACAGAAAAGTCTTCACTGAGGTCCAGCTTTCTCAAGCCTCCGGCGCCTAGACTGCAGCTCTGCACAAGATGTTTGGCAAGAGGAGAAATGGTCGTGCCCAAATGAGCCTGGTTTCTCTCAAGGTTTTTTAATTCTTCACTTTTGCCAATTGGTGAAGTTTTTTCCTCACCGCTGTCGCCACTTGCTTGCATGGTTTGGGATAGGTAGAGCTACGCATCGATGAATTTGCTCTTCAGTGTTTGGACTCTCAGTAGTGATTATTAAACCACACTGAACTGAGCTAAACTGAACTGAACTTCAACACTGAAAACTGAACTACACTGTTTCAATTTACTATGATCTCCTATGAGAAGCTGCCTTGACACAATCTACATTGTAAAAGCGCTATACAAATAAAGGTGAACTGATGTCAAGTCTAAGTTAGTTTAGCATTTGCTATATGTTTTCCAAGAAACATAGTGTTTATATGAAAGAGTCAGGTGCATATGGAGAGGACAGAGTGTATATTCTACATGTGTCTCCTACAACTGCATCTCAAAACACTAAAAATATCTACAAATTCATCTTTTTGTCAACACTCCTATTGCTAACACTTAATATTCTATTTTTAATAAAAAGAGAAACAGCTTTTGTGTTCTAACACTACCACTTTCCAATCTATTTTTTATTTATTTAAAAAGTGCAGTTTTGCAATACACTCAATGTCCACTTTATTAGGTACACCTTACTAGTACTGGGTTGGACCCTCTTTTGCCTTCAGAACTGCCTTAAACCTTCGTGGCTGAGTATTCCTCAGAGATTTTGGTCCGTATTGTCATGATAGCATTACGCAGTTGCTGCAGATTTGTCGGCTGCACATCCATGATGTGGATCTCCTATTCCACCACATCCCAAAGGTGCTTTATTGGATTGAGTACTGGTGACTGTGGAGGCCATTTGAGTACAGTGAACTCATTGTCACATTCAAGACACCAGTCTGAGATGATTTGCACTTTGACATGGCATGTCATCCTACTGGAAGCAGCCATCAGATGATGGGTACACTGTGCTCATAAAGAGATGGACATGGTCAGCAACAATACTCAGGTAGGCTGTGGCTTTGACATGATGCTCAATTGGTACTAATGGGGCCAAAGTGTGCCAAGAAAATATCCCCCACAACATTACACCACCACCAGCAGCCTGAACTGATGATACAAGGCAGGATAGGTCCATGCTTTCATGGTGTTGACGCCGTATTCTGACCCGACCATCTGAATGTCGCAGCAGAAAAATTCTTAGCTGACATAAGTGGCACCCGCTGTGGTCTTCAGCTGCTGTAGCCCATCCGCCTCAAGGTTGGATGTGTTGTGTGTTCAGAGATGCTCTTTTGCAGACCTCGGTTGTAACGAGTGGTTATTTGAGGTACTGTTGCCTTTCGATCAGATGGAACCAGTCTGGCCATTCTCCTCTGACCTCTGGCGACAACAAGGCATTTGCGCCCACAGAACTGCCGCTCACTGAATATTTTCTCTTTTTCAGACCATTCTCTGTAAACCCTAGAGATGGTTGTGCGTGAAAATCCCAATAGACAAGCAGTTTCTGAAATACTCAGACCAGCCCGTCTGGCACCAACAACCATGCCACATTCAAAGTAAATAACTTTTCTTCCCCATTCCGATGCTCAGTTTGAACTGCAGCAGATCGTCTTGACCATATCAGCATTGAGTTGCTGCCATGTGATTGGCTGATTAGAAATTTGCGTTAACGAGCAGTTGGACAGGTGTACCTAATAAAGTGGCCGGTGAGTGTAGGTTTCACAGGAGGGGATATCCTACCCTCTAGCGGCTGTGCAAACATATTCATCTTTAGAACAAGTCATGTTTGTCGAGCTGTCGGATCTCTGCGTATTCGGTCCTTTATGAATACTGTTATGTCAGTGTCACTTTATAAAAGTGACCACGTCATACAGCAGTATTTTTTTCTTATATCTTTGAAAAATTACATAAAGTAATAATACAACAATTCTTATATGTACTATATCTAAAAACATTACTATAGTTACAACAACAACAACCAAAAATGATAATGAAGCAAAAACATTACAGGAGAGAGAAAAAAATACATAATTAAAAATAATAATAATAATAATAACAATAATAATAATAATAATAATAATAAATAAATAAACTCTAAATACTTCTATACATATAAACATAAATAATAACTTAGGATACAATCATTGACTACAGCGGAGGATCAGTACTAGAGAAATGAAATCTTTTTTTTGTCATTTTTTTTGTATTTTCCATTTCTAATAAACAAATATTGCATTTTGCTTTACATTTCGAGAATTTCTGTTTATGTATAAAATATTTGCCTTGTAAAATGTAGAAGTTAACAACAGACTCGAATGTTATTTTTGTGTGTGAAAAAGTGCAAACGGCATCTTTTAAAAATAGCTTGTAATTAGCATTTCTTTTCCCAAATAACACATCACTAACATCATTCCAAAATTTAAGAGAGACATCGCAGTTATAGAAAAGATGAGATAAGTCTTCCTCATGTATTTTACAAAATGTGCAAGTATTCTCAATATCCATGAATTTAGATAAAGTTGCTTTGCAAGGGTAAATTTTGTAAAGTATTTTAAAGTGCACTTTTTTAACCTTATTTAAAAGGCATAATTTGAAGTGCATTAACCAGGTAGCTTTCCAATTAATATTAATATTTTTTTTTACATTCCAATAATATTTCCCTCTAGGGGACGTCATACAGCAGACAGTATAAAGCCTGACGCCCTCAATGCGTCACTGTCTGAATATTTATAAAGAAACTGGCATCGTTGTCGGAAAGAGGAGTTTTACACTACTATACTTTTTTTATCACTGCAAAGTCAATATTCGCATGTCACACATTGTTAACGTCAGAAAGACGGATGGACAATGTACTCAATAGTGGAGCTCAAAGGTGTAAAGTGTGGATATCGCTGTGGCTACTGTGGCAATGAAGAAGGTAAAGATTCATACGGTAAGTGGAGCTGCATGGGTTAATAAACACAAAGTGTTTGCCAAAACAAATTACATCCCACAATAACCTTACTTTCATGTACAGTCTGAATTGTTTTTGTGATCAACGCACTGTTTACTATGGTGAGAAGTGTTTAACGCGATAGTTTTAGATTTTTAACATTACTATTGCTTTCATTCGTTGGGGGCTTTTCCCACAACAGGAAGAGCAAATGAAATGTGTGCATCCGGGTTATTTTTATCATTTATTTATTGCATTATTTTTTATTATTATTGAACAAATAGTAATGTACAACTATATGGCATTATCGCTACATCTTCATATTAGAAAGTGCGAATAAAAACCAAATTACGTAAATAAACAATAACATTACATAATAAAAAAGATCAATAATAAATACATAAATATATAAAAGGAGTTCGGGGTTTTTCCTGTAGTTTATACAATTCTGTCAGAGTTTTTATTTATTTATTTATTTATTGTTTTTATTTGTTTTCATTATATCAGGGCTTTTACGTAAAAAAAATAATGCTTCCAGGTTATTTAAAAGCGCTTGACTCCCACCCTACTACGGTGAAAATCTTGCTGATGAATATTAATTACTTCCTATCGACGTTTTGCCTTTCTTTTTTGCAACGTCCAATCACATATGCCTATTAATATTAATAATATCTTTAGTATTTAAAAACACGCCCACTAAAAGCAGTTCAGACCAATCACAGAGGCGCACTAGGTGAACGTCACGAGGCGTGATTAATATTAATGAAGCAGCCCTTTCCAATAGTAGGCTTCGTTAATGCGTTCCTGGGCGCAGCTGAGCGAGTGTAGAAATGGCAGCGGGTGGATCGTACAGTATAGTGGAGTATTTCGGCGGAGATGATGGCTATCGCTGCGGTTACTGTAAACATGAAAACGGCAATCTATCACACGGTAAGCAGATGTTATATTGCTATCAATGGATTGTGGTGAATATTCAGTGAACTGACTAAGCATTACAGGGATGCCGGTGTTTTGACTAGCCTTGACTGTTCCGAAAGCTGAGCATGGCTTGTCAAAATGTTCATCTAATTAATGTTACACTATTGCTTTCACATGGATTGCTTGTGTTTGTAAATGGCAAGGTCGATTATATATGAACAAGGATTTTCTGTGGAGTTTGTGGCGGATGGTGCAGATCTCTGGCATCTGAAATGGAAGCAGCATTTTTAAAACTGAAAAAAGATATTAATAGGAAGTACAATTACTATAACAGAGGCTTTATTCATCCCTGTCTGGACTGATTAATGTCCTCATATGACAGTTAACATCTTTACAATAAGAGTGTTAACAAGAAGAAGTCATATATTTGTTTCTTCACCCATCTAGCTCTACAAAGTCCATGGTTTATGATTGAGGTAAAGTTGGTTTTATATTCACACAGTCAGACTTTCTCCTTGACGATATCATTTCAGAAAAGCATTTTGTTTGCTATTTATAAGTAGTCATATTAGCCTTTTGTACTATATACTGTTTTACATTATAATGTCACTTTATCATAATTTTAATAAAGGTTTTAATAATTAATAATAGTTTTATAATTACTTTATCAACATAATTATTTTTAAATGAATTGTTTCTGATTTATTTTTGCTTTTTTGATTGTTTATTACCTTGTGTTCATGTGGGTTTCCTCCGGGTGTCCCGGTTTCCAAGTCCAGAAACATGCGGTACAGGTGAATTGGGTAGGCTAAACTTTCTGTAGTGTATGTGTGTGTGAATAAGTGTGTATAGATGTTTCCCAGTGATGGGTTGCAGCTGGAAGGGCATCCGCTGCGTAAAACATATGCTGGATAAGTTGGCGATTCATTCCTCTGTGGCGACCTCAGTTTAATAAAGGGACTTAGCTGAAAAGAAAATGAATGAATGAATGAATGTTTGTTCATTATTTCCTCTAAACCCTTTTCTTGTGCACTTGACCAGGTTTATAAATTATTTTACTATTAAAGTGTTAAACTATTAAAGTTACTACATTATTCAAACAGATCCTATTTAGGTTAGTATAGCATATATAGATTAGTGTTCATTCTTCCTGTCCGGCTGAGGTAATTGCAAAAATATGGTGGTTCAAGTCATGTAAAAAATATCCGTAAAAAAATATTAGTTTTTCCTGGTTTATTTATGCTTTTGAATTGCATCATGGGATCTTGATTTTTCTTTAAACAAAAAAGTTGAAAATGACTTTTGTTGACATTTTGAGTAGTTTAAAGTGATATATTGTCTGGGTTTATCTTGTATATTTAGGGCTTCTACAGGGTCTTACAGTCTTAAATCTCAATATCCAAATCATAAATCTACTAAAATATTGTGTTGTAGGTCTTGAATCTTTTTTAACCCAGTCCTAATTTTCCTTTGTTTATGTTTTGCTACCCAATCTGGCCAAAACCCATACAATTACCGAAAATCATCTCAATACATCTTTAAACTTTTTACTTAAAAGGGTCATTTTTAACTCTGTTTATCAAAATTATTTTTCTTATAATAACATTTGTTTAAAAGTTCTCCATGCATTTACTGCTGAGGACATCGGACAGGACAGATTGCTGTGCATAGATTTAGTTTATTATAGTTTTTAAAACTTTTAAAACATTTGTTCATTTTTTTTTAAATATTAATGTTTGGATGCAAGTAGTGCTTGCATGTTTTTACACAATATTTAAAATATTTTACTAAGAAATAAAATCTTAAAAATATATTTTTTATCATTAATGTATTATTATACAATATTAATATTAATGTATTATTAATGTATATATATTATTATATCTCTGAATTCAAATCCTTACTTAAGACTCACTTATTTTCTGAATGCTTTGCATCTGATCTAGCAAACTGACAACTTAATCTGATCCACCACTATCCTGCTCATATGTCTCTTAGGTCTTGTTGGTGTTATTCAAGTTTGTTATATTTGTCCTCATGTATGTTTGTTTATCTTTTTGTTGCATTCCTTGTAAAGTGTCCTTGAGCTCTGGAAAGGCGCTATATAAATACAAATTATTATTATTATTATTATTATTATTATTATTAATAAATGTATTAAATTATCATTATTTATTTTGATAGGGCAAATAAAAATCTTTTCCATCTGGGCCATTTGAAAAATTCCTTAGCCTTTAGTCCTTTATAGGTCTCAAATTTCATTCATAATGGTCTTAAAAATGTCTTAAATTTAAACCTTCAGAAACCCTAAAATTTTGCTACAAACACCTTGTAATAAGTTGCCAGTACCTTTTTTATTCTACAATATTATTTCTGTCTTAATCATTTCTTATAATTATTTAAAACTACTAAAATGCCAATAAAAGTCACTTTGTTAAACCGCAGAGTTGATTTTCCAACATCAAAAGTCGACAGAGCAGAGATCAACGTCCCATAATGCAATTCACAACCCTCATTTAATATTTCTCAATTACCCTTTCTCTAATGATGATGTTAATGTCGACAGCTCACTGTAGAAATGCTGCTAAATGCGGCAACGTAAGCAGATGAGAAAGGATTGGACGGCTGCTGTGTTGTAATTGTGGGAAAGTGAGATATAAATAGTGGGCAAGCCTATGAATGAACGTGCTGGAGATACAGTAATCTGATCCCAGTAATCTGCTCCATGCCACATAACGTGTATGTCTGGAAGAAGGAAGCGTGCATCTAATGCTAATCAGTGACAGTTGTTTACATTTGTGTTTAGCGGATGTCCTCAACAACATGCTTGGATGATTCTTATTATAGACTCTGTGTATGCAATGATGATGGTCTCAGTAACTCATTTGACTGATCTTGCGCTAATGGACTGACTTCAGAATAGATTCATTGATTGCTTAAGTGTTTAAAAGTGAAAGCAAAATCTTTAAAGTACACATGAAATTAAGACTAAGGATATTGATTTTGTTGGCTCACATTGCTAGTTTTATGGTGAATAATTAATCTGTGCATGTCATTAAGAAATAAAAAAAGTGTAGTGACACAAATGACCTTTTTGTCACTTGAGGTGTTGTAGGGTTGTTTCTGACGCGTGAGAGCTCAACAAACGAATCATCCTCCAAATACTGCTTATCAGATTTATTTTTTGCACAGACAGTTCTTATGGCTCAATTTCCACTTACAGTCTGGTATATAAATGCTCATAAAATCACATTGAATGCCTCCATAAAGCTCTTTCAAACACGTTCAAAAAATGTTGTGCTTCCCTCTAATTACACACCTGTTGTTCTAAGTCTTTGTCTACCTATATACTCCTCCAAACCCACACTCCACCCAGTGGTCAAAAACAGCATTACAACAAACATAATGGCTCTTACAAAAAGTTTGCCCTTGTAATCTAAAATTGAAATCTGAAAGTGCACTTCCTGTTTATTTTGAGTTGAATTCTCAGATTAGATCTGTCTGAGGTAGTGGGCGTGGCCAGCATACGTAACCACGCCCCTCCAGCTGTCAGTTTTGACAAAAAAACAGAAATGGTCAGGAGGAGGAGTCTGTCAGGTTGTAATAACTCTCCCCAAACCCTTCTCCAGATATTTCTTAATGAAATGCGTACTTTACTACATCCAATCAGCTCGCAGTAGAAAAAAAACTGATGCTGTGTTCACACCAGACGCGGAACGTGCGGATAAATCACGCTATTCGCGTGTAAATAGCCGTGTGAATATTTGAGTTTACTCGCTTCATTCGTGCGTCAAACCCCGCTTCATTCGAACGTCAAATCCGATTCATTCGCGCGTCAAATTCACTTCAGAACAGACGAGGATTCGTGTGATGGGCAGGGCTTCTGTCTGCCCAGTGACTCTAGCTTCATAGCTAAATGGCTGACATGGATTTTATGAAGAAAATAACAGTGCTTGTGTGATTTATGAATACTAAAAAACAGCATCGATACATTTAGGGTCGTGTCTGAGTTCACTACATCCTTTCAGAGCCAGAGGTGCATCCAGCTCTGTGAGCTCATAAACTCCTCCAGAAACTTAACCTGGATGACGGAGACTTTCAGCGGTGCTTCTGACTGAGCCAAGCCCAGGTTGATAAACTTGTCGGCTGAAGGATTTCCCCTAGGACACCGACTACAGGCGATACGTCACAATCACGCCCCCACAAAAGCAAGCTCCTGATTGGTTAGCGCAGCGCGAATGTCCGCTGAAGTTCAGATGTTCGAAGTTGAGTGATTTGCGCGAATCGCGTTAAGCGCGTCAAACACGCAAAATGCTCAATTCGTATCGCGCAATTCGCGTCATTCGCGCGTATCGCGCCGCAGGACGTCTATTCGCGCGTTTGCATTGACTTAACATGTAAATCACTCGCGCTTGCCGCACGTTCCACGTCTGGTGTGAACGCAGCATGAGAGTCCAAAAAATCATTATCATAAATTGTCCGTAGTTTATATGGGTGTGAGTGAGAATGAGTGGTTGGAAGGGCACCCGCTGTGTAAAACATATGCTGGAATAGTTGGTGGTTCATGTTGCTAATTTCAGACAACGCAACCTTTCCCGTTTTCCATAACGTTGTTTAAATAGCAAATCCATTTGCAGCACTTTGTGAACTCATAGGTGTTCCGGTCAAGAAAAGAGGCGTGTTAAGGCGCATTGTTGGACCAGCTGAGAGCAGCCTTTTCAAGTTATTCATGACAACTTGCTTTTGCATAATGTTTTCATTCATTCATTCAGTTTCGGCTTAGTCCTTTTATTAATCAGGGGTTGCCACAGTGGAATGAACCTCTAACTTACTTAGCATTTGTTTTACAAAGCGGATGCCCTTCCAGCTGCAACCCATCATTGGGAAACACACTTATTCATACACACACTCTTTTAGCTTACCTAATTTTCCTATACCACATGTCTTTGCACCCGGAGGAAACCCGCGCAAACACGGAGAAAACAGGCAAACTCCACACAGAAATGCCAACT